GGGGGGTGAGAAGACAGACAAACTAAAAACTCCGTCGTGTACCTTATGGTGAACTTTAACCCGGCCGTGAAGGGGAAGGTCGAGCCATGTCTTTCCTCAGCCTGCCAGCCTAGCTCGTCCTTTGAGGTCCGGGCCACAACTGCCTCGCTCAGCCGGGGGTTAAAGAGGAACACCTCGTGGTTGTAGGCTGTCTCTAAGCTGATGGAGAATCTGAAATGAAGGCTATTCCACGGTAATTGACAGCACAGAAAAAAATACCTCGTTTGTCCCGTCAGTTACCGAAACTAAACACGTCACATAATTTACATAAAGTGCTTTTTATTTTCTTCAAATGACTGCATTTAATATGATTCTTAATAATAATGTTTTTCAAAGGTTCCATTCATTTAAAGTTGAAATAAATTAATAGGTGTTGAATTATAGTGTTATCATTGTAAGAAAGTATAGTACAAACCGTAATTTTTTGAATAACTTAATAACAACTCCGAATAATCTTACGATTTTGATCTGGCCTCATGGTCCTAGTAACTCAAAACGACCAAAAATGTCAAATTATAGAACGTTGTAATTCTAAGGTAGCGATTTGCTTTTGGGTCTTTATTAGTACCGTCACCAAAACCACCACCACCATCCTCATCATCGTCCTCATCGTCCTCATCCTCATCATCATATCCTCATCCTCATCATCATCATCATCATCATCATCATCATCATCATCATCATCATCTTCATCATCACACCGCTTTTTAAACAGATTACCACTTAAACAGAACCACCTTGAGCGAATCTGCAAGAACTGAACCTGCGGTCTTTAGAATACGAGTCGAGTGTCATCTCAACGGTTAAATCTCACCCGATTCATACGGCACATGTAAAGCCCGTCCAGCCCCATACTAGATCTATGTACACTTAGGTTATATTCTACAGAAGAATATTTTTGGGGAACCAAAATAAAAAAGAAGCAAAGCAAGAAGAAGAAGAAGAAGAAGAAGAAGAAGAAGAAGAAGAAGAAGAAGAAGAAGAAGAAGAAGAAGAAGAAGAAGAAGAAGAAGAAG